CTTAGAATTTAAAGTTGAAATATTTAAGTTGTTTATTGCTTATTAATGTAGATTTCTTATACATCTTTATCTTCGCAAGTCTGTTAATATTGACTATACAGACTGCTTTTTCTAAAATATTTCAATGCTCAAATCGCATATCACATTTTTATGTCCCTTAACAACAACCTTAGACCTACTGCCAATGTATTTCGCTAAATCTATCCAAAAGTGGCGGCACCACATATCGTAATGCTCATTTAAGCTGTCAAAGCATTAACCCCACTTTTACTTCATCTAAATTGGACATACTTACCAACGTTCTTTATAAATTGAACTTCAAAATTTTTGCATTTGAGACTTGCAATTTTCTAATAATGCGGGCTTATTACCAGCCTACAATGACAAAAATGATCGAACCCTGAGTAGGGAAGGAGGCATCGCCTTCTACATATCCGAAACTTCGATATTAGGAGTAACGGGACATTTGACGATTGCACAATACGGTCCAGGGATTATTATACATAATGATTGTCTACACACAGTTGGAAGAACGACAGATTTTGATTATACTTGCAATGTGTACCGAGTAAAACACAAAAATGGAAAATGTTTATATAAATTAATTTATAAGAAAATATAAATATACATTTTGAAGTGTTAATTGCATTTTGGAATTTTTGATTTATTTGAAGCAATTGGGTTTGTTTAAAAGCAGTCAATAGAAACCAGTTGATAATGCATATGTTGTAAATTTTGTGACTGAATAATCCTCAAATTCTCATTTAACAAAAACGCAGCGATTTTTTCTTGTTTAATATAAACCGTTCGATTTTTCTCTCTTTTGAAGATTAGATGTTCACTTAAACGAATTTGTTAGACTTAATTTATAGAACTTCCCTATGGCAATAGTAAATTCCCCGTAGGAATTCTTCAGTATGCGTTTAATTGCAACATGCTTGAATGGCTTAGATTCGTTTAATCTCGTTCTATTGTTTTATATTGTTTATATATTTTAGTTTTATTTCAGTTATAACGAATATTACTTTCAAAGAAAATCTCCTTTCTTTTACATTGGATTCTACTCTTTACCGACAAAACTATTTCCGCTTTTACTTTTAGTTTTAACAAATTTCCTTTCTCTCTCTGCAAATTAAAAATCCGACCACATTCGAGACCATCTTTTCCTTTCTTGCTCAAAGTCACATATTACGGGGTTGTATATGTAATAACTCTTACATTATACAACCACATGTTACAGCTTTTTCACTAATTACAGCGCAGCGGATTTAAATGACATTATTACTAATGTGCGGTTAACTCTTCCTTTGTGTACTCGGCCAACTATGTAAATAACCAACTGAACTTTCTTAAAGAATTAGTTCATTTGTCGTTTATCTCCCATCATCTATTACATTTCGTAAATACTATTCTTACTACATCACAGTTCCCACAGGATTGGAAAATAGCCAAAATTAGACCAACACGGAGACATTGAAATTCATTAGCCTTGGATAATTTAAGATCAATTCGTATTCTGCCATTCTTTTACAAAGTTGCAGAACATCATATCATGAAACTTGAAATCGAATGCAAGCAATTCGTTTCTGTTAACAACGTCTCGTTTGGGATAGTTAAAGTGAACTCTGGAGTTCCTCAGGGCTCAGTTTTAGGCCCGATCCTTTTTAATCTTGTTTTGAATAAATTAACTGAAGTTGTAGGGGCAGACGGGTATACATATTTTAACTACGCCGACGATATTTTCATTCCATTGAGCTGTGATCAGTGCACTAATGATTCCTTTCAAAGTAAAGTTAATGTATCACCTACAAGAACTAATTCTTGCTTGTTCAAAAATTCTCTTTCGGTTAAAATGAGTAAATCAAAAGCTCTTCTTTTCAACCGCGCTGGACCTAATGTCGTCACTCCTAATATCTGGTACGAATATTGAAATCTTGGAGTCTTTGCGATGTTTTGGAATAACACTCGATAATAAACTAGACTTTAATTTAGGCATGGACAACATTAACGAAAAAGTTTGTCTGACTTTGCAAAGACTCTGAAATCTCAGTGTGTAGCTGTTAAATTAAACTCTCTCTCTTTTAATGTCACTGTGTAAATGTAATGAAGTGGTCACTGAAAGTCCTTCATTAGAAAGCGAACAAGGACTTCATCATATTTGCATCAATAGAAGGTAACCATATTTTTTATTTTTAAGAAGAGTAAAATATTGAAAGCTTTTCTAAAAGCCAAACAGTGGATACATCACATAATTTAATTTTTCTAATAATTTGTGATTGCGTGAAAAGCAAAAGTGGAAAGTTCGATGGATGAAAGCAATATGAAGGTTGACTGGCAGATACCGTTTTTTTATAATTGTATATATTCTTCTACGAAATAAAGAGTAAATTAATTCTGTACATTCTTTTATATAAAATCTTAGCGAAGCTTTTTAATTAACTTGTATCCACATAAATTTTATACAAACATCGTGTTAATTTTTAAACTCACATTTATTAGTACTTTGGCTTTTCGTAAAAGATAAGGAAAACTTATTTTAACAGAGAATTATGCTATAAGCGTTTCTAGTAAAGACAAAATAAAAAGTCTGAGCGAGAGCTTTTCTGAGTTTTTTTTCACTTTTATTAAAAAATGTATGCATTTGCATCTTTGCTAAAGTGGATTGATTTTGGTCATTTTGAAATAAAAGTGGATTGATTTTTGTTCATTTTGAAGTAACAGTGGATTGATTTTTGGTAATGAGCGCACCTGAAATCCACCTCGATTCACAATCATCTGAGAGTAATGAAATAATAAAATAAATGAAAGGTGACAGACGATGGGCAAATTTTCGTACATATCGCACAAGGATTTTCTTTTAGAATTAATGATGTAATATTTAAATTTTATTTATTATTCACATAATACGTTGCAGAGCCCATCATTTTGGATTTAAAAAAAAGCGTCTTAAATTTCAACAATATATAAAAGATTTCGAACAATACAAAATGTAGGATATAAAATTGTCACGCGATACTTCGAGCATTAGCAATAAGAACAGTTTGACACATGCAAACCTTAATTTCATCAATTAAATTAATCTGAACTTCATCAATTTAATATTCTATATGGGTACAAAAACATACTTCTAGATAACCCCGTAAATCTGTTAAAAGTTGTTTTAAAAAATGTAGGTAAAAAATATAGCCAACCAAGATTCGAAAAATTTACCTAGGCGCACGTAGAGTTCCCATGTGCGTCATCATATATACAAATGTTTTATATGTACATATTACAAATACTATAAGAAACCCCGAAATATGCATAATGTGCATATAACATTCGTTGATGTATAACAATTAAGTAACGATTGTTACTGTTTATGTTGTAAAGTTTTTGATGCTTTCAAACTTAAGATTAGTTTCATACAGATTTCATGTGAAGAGAAGAATATAAGAAAGAAAAAATTATGGGGGGCTTAAAATAAATCAGGGGTTAGCTTAGAATTGAAGAGTTAAAGAGCATAAAACTTTTCCACGTAATTTAATTTATGGATTTGTTTAGGCAGTTACTCCAAAAAATGTTAATACATAATCTCTATCTGAATATTATACCTCTCGTTTTTAGTCAGAGCTGTTGTTATTGGTTTTCATTGAATTTATGTAAGACTTTCATCTTCCCTTTTGAACTACGGTTCACTCTGAATGAATGAAGTGGGAATGAGAAGGAAACATATTTTCGTTTGAATTTTAAGCAAAGTGTTTCTTAATATGTATGTACACTTTATGATTTTCAATAATCTAACAGTCAGCGTTAAAAATAAATAGTATCGACAAAAAAAAAAAAATTCCATGTTTGTAGCTTCTTTAATTCCGATATAAAATGTTTCCCACATTAATATACAATATTTAATAGGAAAGGGATTCTCAAATTCCTAAATAATCTTAAAGTTATTCAACTAAATGAATGGCTTTAAATTTTTGATTACGGCCCAAACAATGAATAAATTAGTTACAAGTTATTGTTTTCAGAGAACGAAGTGCTGTCAAAACGTTATAAGATGCAAAGCATATCGCGTCTTTTTATAGCATTCATCCGTCCCGAACGACCTTTACCTTCATAAAGTGTTAGTGAAACCATTAGATTTTTTTTAAATTTTCCAAAGAACCTGGTGCAGCGAAAAACACTTAACTATAGGAAATCAATCAAATCATTTATGTAAAACAATTGAAGAAGGTGACAGTACATACACAAGCAGACTTTGGGCCGGTAGAATGTCTGTACGAAAATTACGTACAACTAAGACTGAACTTTTCCTTATTCTTGATACATTGCAGACATATTGTAAAATGTTATTAATTAAATGTTTTCAACGCATTCTTTAGTAATGAGTGATTTTCAAGATATTTTCAACGCTTTGAGTACAATCCTCAAACCTGCGGTTAACGCGTGTATATGAGGCAGACTTACTTAAGGAATGGATTGAAGAAGCTATTTTTATTTACTGTTAGTGTTGTTTGGAAGTATTAGCTTTTTCTCATTTTTTTAATTTATTTGGAAGTACCCTGTAAGAGTTCCTCTAAAAATATATCTAATACAAATGTAAATCTGAAACAAACTTAGTTCCCTAACACCTTAAAGAAAAAAAAAATCTTTGGAAAAAAAAAACATAATTGATTATTTGAAATTTAAAGAACGCTTTGTTATCTTTAGAATTGTAAAGGCAAAATTGAGTGACTGTCGCCAGAACAGGCAGTTCACTTTTTTAAATTGCAAGAAAGAAAAACTTTCTTTCCTTAACTTATTTTTTTTTTATTTGTCCATCTCCTTATTAGATTAGTCCGGTTAATCTCCTCAGACAAAAAAAAAATTTCTATTCTCCCTGTTTTGACAGGAACTCGGAAAAGATTTTGGTTTTACTAATATAGCTTAGTTTTATGTCTTCACAACGGCTGTCGTGGGAAGCGCATGCGTGTGAAGTCCTTAATAATATGTGTATAAGAACAAATTGGATTTTCTGCTTTTCAAGCTAAGAAAAAGGAAGCATAATTAATAAAATGTTTTCACAAGGTCTTCTAACATTTGTGCAAGAACATGAAATTTGCTTACATAATATGCTACAAAAATAGTAAGTGAAAGTAATAAGCTTAATAGGTAAATATTTTTAATATTTTGTTCACAACGTTAGTTTAAAATTACAGTTTTCGACGTGCGGAGCTATTATTCCTGACATTAAATAAATGGATGGAACCATCTAGGGTTTTGGATATTTTAGTCCCACTAGTAGGAGCCTTTAATCACCAGTTATTCGTGAGATTAGTGTGCTCCTTGAGTATAATAAATACATCTGTTTCCTTAATAAAATGGTAAAATATCAATTTCTCTTAATAGTTACAATTGATTTTAACATTCACCGCGCAGTTTTTCATTCAATTTAGAGAATGAAAGGGAAATTTCAATAATTACGCTCTCAACTGATTTGCTAATGTAGTCGCAATTAAACAAAAGTTTATCTCCTGAGTGGCTGGTCATAAAAGCAGATCGCAGTTTCCATAAATGCGAGTTTAATGTCATTTTCTTTTTTTGTTTCTGCTTACAGGTGTTGTCCCGAATATCGTCCATATTGGTGGTTAAAGGAATTCAAGGCTGTCCACCATTTTGACGATCTACAACAATATCCATCAACTTGTGAAACTTCGGCAGGGTTTCCGTCTGCACATTCTACGGTTTTTACAGTTTTTGTGCATTTGTTTTTGGGTCCTTCGATGTCATATATCAGTCATCAGTTCAAAATGGACCAACGTTGTTTAAAATTGATTAGTAGTTTTTTGTGGATCGTTTTTTCATCGTTAATGTGGCTCAGCCGAATGTACTTATTGGCTGAGTTCTTACATCAATGCATTTTGGGTTCACTAATAGCTTTTTTGTTTTTGCATTTTTTCAATCGTCATTCTTCGTTCTTTTATGCGCTGAATCGTCGATGGTTGGTAACAGGCGTTTTATGTTGCAGCAGTATACCAGTGACGGCATATTTTTCTATGTTGAGTATGCATGTTGACCCACATTGGTCTGTGAGAATGGTAAGTATCTTAACGTTGATGATCAACTAAATCGTGAATTCTTTGATGTGCTATTGGCCGTCTTCCAATGCTAATATCGCCTGTTGCAAAGAAAAAAGTTATTACATCTGTTTTATGTCATACGCATAAGATCAAAAAAAAAAAAAGAAAAGATTTTGGCTCGTCTGAGAGACACTTTTGCACCTTTTATTTCTATTTATTTCTATTTTATTTCTTCTCCGCGTGTTTTAGGCTTTTAAATGGTGTCAAGAACCCAGCAATTTGTGTCATGAAACAAGCCCCGTATTTTCGTTAGGACGTGATTTTGGTTATCTTATGGGTGTAGCACTTTCAGCTCCTTTATTCAAACGGTAAACCTTCCTAAACAAGTCATTATTTAGTTTACCTTTCTTTATTACAGACATGAGTGTTCCAATTCCCGGATAAAACGATTGCCTTTAATGATATCTGTTGAGATTATCAACTACTGGGCTCGTCTAGAAACTCCAAAGACTAGGGGGCGTTTCATATTTGTCGCATACGAATGCCTTAGAAATTTATTGCATTCTTTTACTTTGTTAACCATTTTACCAAAGTTGATCACATAGTAAAAATATGAATCGCAGTGTAGATATTTATGTTTTGAATCTATAAGTCAGTGTTATATGTATTGGAAACTCTAAAAAGCATACGAATACAGACGCATGAAAGCGGCTAGCTTTCATGCAGACTTATATTATCAAATGTGGTATTTTCACAGCAACAGGCCGGTCTTTTTTTTAGTAGCAAAACGAGAAAAATAACAGATTAATTTAATTAAATATAATTAATAATTAAATAATTCATTCGTTTGACATCAATACTTAAAACAATACGACATTGGGCCAAACGGCGGCTGAAAAATTTTTTCGTGTCTTCTTGGTGTTAGCAAAAAACAAAGGAGAATAAAAAAAAGAGCGGAAAACGAGAATTAAAAAAAAAAAAGTTTGAAAAAGAAATAAAATTTAAAAATTTTTTTTTATTTTAAATGTGTATATTATAATTAAGAGAAAAAACTTAAAAGCTTATATTCCGAGATCTGTCGCAGAAAGGTACGGAGTTATTCCCAACGTTCCCATTGAATATGGCATAAACGAGGTCATTAAAAAAGCAGTGTCTAATATTCCCATTAAGTCTGTCGTTAGGTTACAATGAGAATTTCCTTCCATTGGGGAACGCGTTCGTCATTTTGAGCAAGAATGATAATGAAAACGTTAATAAGACTTTAACAAAGAAAAAATATATTGCGGTCGTTAAAAGGAAATCTATTATTTCCAAACCTTCTCACATGTTATCCCCCCCGCCGTCTGTAACAAGTTCTCAGCACTCAATAATTTCGAACAACAATTCGCTTTCCTCGCAACATGATAGATTAATCTCTGCGATTAAAGAATGTATCCGTCCAAGGATCTCTCAAAATCTTATTAAAGAACTTGAAGGAAAGATGTCTCACTGTGCTAATACCCGCTACGATCAACCGCCTTGTGCTACAGGTAAACCCGCTGGGGTTCTGATTTTATTTAAAACATGATCTCGTTTGATAAACTTCCTTATTTTGTTTAAAATTGAGCTTCCTTCCGATTTATCATCAATTCAAGGTGCTTTTCAGTCTGTGATCAAGTCTGTTAAAACCAACTTTTCTGATATTGAGACTTTCTCACCTAAACCTTGGCGGAACTCTTCCCTGTCAACACTTCTTCGCAAATACTAAGTTGCAAGGAAAAAAATGAGTAAATATGCCTATACAGCCAAGTTCATTAAATATATGAAAACACTATAGGAATGGAGGTCTGCAGTTAGAAAGGCGAAAAGGACACAGAGTGGTACCACGGTTAAAGAGTTATGTGGCAATAGCTTCTCGCGTTTTTTCTGAAATTGCATCAACGGTCGTCGACATTCTAATCGAAAATTAAACGCCTGTGCTTTGTGGAATGGCCACGATAATAAAAGATGCTTGGATATGCTCAAGAGCTATGTTTCAAATGTCAATCTAATTACAATACCTTCAATTCCTTTTAGTAGTCTCAACAATACACCCCTTTCAGTGCGTGAGCTAATGTACATTTTACATTCCTTTCTTACAGAGCTACTACTGCATTTTGTGATTGAGTTAAGTATGACACGGTCAGAGTACTGTCTGAAGGAAGCTTAAGTATCCTCCTGCATGCAATTAATAGCTGCTGGTTTATTAACTTTATACCGTTAGATTTGCGATTTATGAAAGTAGTTTCCATTCCTAAGATAGGTAAAGACTCAAATGATTTAAGTAACTTCAGACCAATTCCGCTAATATCTGCATTCATAAATATTATCAACCTTATAGTTAAGGAGAGGTTAATGGATTTCCAGAAAACTGGGAACATTATTCCAGCTCGTTTTAAAGGCTATCAAAAACACAAATCTAAGAATATGTGCGTTGATGAATTGTCTTTTCTCACACCTAGCTTAAAAAAAGCCGGTAAAGTGGTTGTTATGCTTTCCTTGAATATCAGCACTATAAACCTAGTGCTTGTGTCAACTTTATTAAGCTTGGTAGAATTCTCAATTCCTCTTCAAATACGTCCGTGGATACTAAATAAAAGCTGACCTTTTTTTCAATGCATGCGCCGATCTTAATTTATATTTTAACGCCAGCAAAACAAACACTATTTATTTTGCCATAGCTTCTAAACGCGAAATGAGGCTCTTGCTCAAAGGAACTATAGTTAATCAGCTGAAATCTCTTCGATTCCTTGGTACAATTTGACGGCCTAACTGTTCGTGGACATTATAAAAAAGCCTTCAAAGACTATCAATCTGGATGCAATATTATCAAACATATGACTAACAATCAATCAGTCTTGCCTCCCCAAAAAACCCTTGATTTTGTACAAAGTCCTAGTCAGGTCTAAGATTGAATTTGCATTCTACAGCTTGTAATTTCCCAAAATATATTGAGAAACGTATACACACGCTTGAAAATCAACTCTTCAACATATACTCAATGTTATTTCTGTTGAATGGCCCATGTCCAAAGGAAATCTTCTTTGAACTACACTTGACAAGATAATGAATCCTTTTTTTCAAGAAAGTTATATCACTCAGTGATATTGTCTCTTGCAGCTACACGTTTTGTTATTAAAAACAGCGTCATATTTTTCTTAAGATAAATTCAATTCCTCACTGGTATTTTCCTACCAACCATTGTAGAGTCTTCACGAACGTTTTTGAATAGATCTCCATCTCAAATGTCAATTTCTCTCGTATGAGGCTCTTATGTCAAGAAAAGCTTTTTCTTTATTACTATAACGGCTATGAAATTTTTCGTTCTTGTTATTTTTACACTTTTTGTTGGAACTACCCTTTTATCAGTTTTTATCAGTTTTTAAGAATTTTCCTTCTCGAATATTCAATTTTTTGTTCTTGTTATTTTTTTTATTTTGTTTCCGGTAATTTCCAGACACTTGCACACATGTTTCTGGAAATTTTCAGACATTTGAACACTTGTTTCCTATGATTAGTATGCCAATGATGTGTATAACGTCAAAGTGGCGGAGTAACTTTCCTCGACTTTTATTAAATTGCTTGCCATCAGACATGCTATTACGGTGGCTATTACTGATGGTATAAAATAGTTTACCATTTTTCCGGATAGCAAGTCAGCTCTACTTCTAATAAATAAAAGAGATTCAGATAATCAATGCGTGTTTGATATATACAGAATGTTACATGAATCTCAAGTGGATGACTGTTACCTTGTTTGGACACCTGGTCACTGTGGCTTTTTATAAAATGAAAAGCTATACCATGTGATATTTGTGAAGTTTGCAATATCACGGTGCCTGCTGTGCGTCCAATTTTCAGATGTCACAGGCTTGATGGTATTAGGAGTTCTTTTATCTTCTTCAAGTTACATGATGGGCTCCCCGATCTCTTTGCCGCAAAAAATGTACGTCATCTTGGGGAACTAATTTGCTTTATTAGAAATGAGAATTAATCTTTTTAATGCGTGATAAACTACTTTTTTTTTTATTGTTTGCGTTTAATCATCTAATATTGTTATAACATTACTTTTTTGTTTTCAGTCAATGTTTCCAACACCTTTTGCTACAATTATATTAAAATATCCGCTTATGTTATTACGGCAGCGTTTTTTTTGTTGTGTTTTATATATATTTCTCGCCAATAATTACTACTTTTTGTTATCTGGACATATAAGTCACATCTTTAGTGGCGTGGTTCGTTTTAACTCAACATCTCCAACAAAAATTAAATAATTTGTAAACGGAAGATCCAGTATACGATGTCCTTTCAATCTTCTTATTTCATTCGATTCATACAGAAGAGAAAGTGTGAAGTGAAAGTTGTATAAAGTATTAGACTTAGAACTCCACTTTCAATTTTTATATATTACCCGCCATTACTAGCATAGAAATGTCTATTTTGCAAGCAGCATTTAAGCACTAAATACATAGAAATCGGAAGAAATTTCTTAACTTTGAAACCTACGCTGTCATGCTGGACTTAATCGAAGGTCTTTTCCCTACCCAGGAATACATTATCACAATAATTTTTTCTTCCAATAGATATGTGAAACAGTACGACGACATGTATCAATGGTACTATGTTTTTCCCTAAAAGCGAACTGGTGCTTAGATGTAAAAAGTCTCTGTTATATTTTCACAAATACATTCCAAAAAGCAAACAGTAAATTAGGTCGACTATACGGGCTTACACCATATTCTGGCTTATTGGATTTAGTCACCATAATTATTTCTGTGCATTTATTAGTAGCCCTAAAGTGTCGTCTTTTTGTCTTTCCTTTTATTACTGCGACTATAAAACACTGAAGTGAGATTCATACAAATATTTACTATTGCTGAAATCGATGTAAAGTACAGTAAATTAATTGGAATAAATAATTTTTCTGCGACACAAATGAAACTTAACGTCATTTTCTATAGGAAAACAGAAAAAAGGGTTTAAAGCAACTTGTTTGTTGTCCTATTTTTCGTCCATATCATTAAAAAGAATAAATCCAAACTTTTACGCGGATTTGTATAAGGAAACTATGAAAGTCAAATTTTGTGGCGGATGAGTGTATATAACACCACAAATTTTTACAACCGAGTTGATGAGGTTTACAAGTGAGTTTGAAACAACGACTATGATGTATTCACTCTTATTAATATTTTTTATTCATCTCGGTTCATTTACCAAAGTGAATAGTAAACAAATCTATTTAAAATTTATTAAATTTTGCCCTGAGAAACTATTTTAATATACTGTAATGAAGATTTTATATGTTCTCAAATTGTAAATGAATGAATCTTTATTTAGTGTTGGAAAGATTCCTTATGAATCGCTCTTCATATGTGACCAGAGTGTTGTCGTGGAATACCTTGCTATACTGCTCGGCTTCAGTCCGCCAAGTCAATGTACTTTTTTTGGTGCCAATACTAAGAAGCAATCGCTAGCTAATATGTTAGGCTTTTTGCATTGCTTTATGACAATTGAATTTGTTAAGCTTTGGTATAACTATTTATACTAAATTTTACAAATACCTCATTGCTAGCGTAAGCATAAAATAATAATTGTTACGGTTCATTTTAATTAGGGCGCCTTGCGTCGTATTGCATTACGAAATGCAATTCTCAGCCAGTTGAAGTGAGACATAACTTTCGTTTTTCTTTTTGCAAAAGAATTATGCTGATTGTGTCACACTTCAAAGTGGATGCATAATAACGATAAGCGATTACACTGCAATACCCATTGTTGGAAAAAGGAAGTATACTCATTTTGTTTTTTTTTTCATAATATATGTAACATACCCAAAAGGAATCTTCAGAGACCATCTTCTATCCATCTTCTATACCATTATACCTTCCACTTACCTAGGAAATGGAGAGGTATTTTATGTTATAAAGAAGATCGATATTTAACTCCGCTAGGTAATCTTGTTCGATGAAAAAGATTTTTTACTTTGTGTACAAATCCGCTTTTTTTTTATAAAAAATATTTGGTTATCTTTTGAATTCAGACTACGCAAGAATTAGGGAGAAGTTTTTGTTAGCTAAATAGTGAGTAATTGTGTATCATATATACTTTTTCAAATTTGTCCGCATGAAGGCGAAATGTATCGTTATTTATAACATTATTTATTTTATTGTTTTCAATACCTTTCGATCTAATGATTTATTTGCAGCATTAGAGAAATTAACAATTACGCCATAAGCAACAAGAATAAAAAGATGTTGATAAATAAATTAAACAGAATGAATGGAAGACTCATCTTACAAAATTAAAAATAAAAGAATTTTTTCTCCTCTTCTTCAAATACAGAACTTTCCATACTTCGCAATATTTAAACACCATTTATCTGTGTAAGGGTAACATTTAAGAAAACACAAGAAAAATAGTATAGTCGGGCAAAGCCGACGATTAAATATTGTAAAGCACTTCGCCTATCACAATTCCTCACTTAATTTCATGATGAAATATCAAAAATTATTCCTCTCAATGTAAGTACATGCTTCGCATCCCATGGTCGGGCGACCGCAAAACGTGAACTTATAAAGTTTTCAAGATTTGACAGACGAGCTTTAAAAATTCATTCTCGAGCGATTCAGTTATTGAGTTTTTTCTCTTGCAACTGCTGTCCATTTTTTGTTAAAACAAAATTTTAACTACTTATCAACTAACTTCGAAAATTTTACAAAAGTTTTTTGAAAGTCAGTTAATGCCTATTATTTGTTTTGGGTAATTTTCTTCATTTTTGCGCTTTTTCTAAATAAATAAATTTTTACTAAGGACATTTTTGAAACTTTAACCGAAATTTTCGAAGTGATGTATGAAATAGGGTAACTTTCGCGTTTTATTGACTTCATCACAAGCTGACATCACACTCTTGGTTAGCGGTCGAGGTCCGCAAGAGAAAACACCGATTTTGGAAACCTGATTCAAACGATTTCAAATGATTACAAAATCGTTGGTAAATTCAGCACGAGAAGAACTTACATATGAATGTTTTTTTTGTACAAATTTCAAAAAGCTAGACATATCCGGACGTCCGAAATGATTAACAGCTTTTAAGCCAGTAAATATAGATGTTTTAGAAAGACGTTGAAAATGATTTTCGCAAATGTACTAAAATCAAAGAAAAAATTTTAAAATTTAATTGCAAGAAAAATATCGTGTGAAAGCATATACCAGCATTGTAGTTCTTAAATCAAATTTGTGGAAAAATTGAGTTATGAATATATGAATTTCCAAAACGTTAGTTACGTCTTTCTTCTCCACATCACGTAGCACATCTATAAACCATTCAAAGTGCTTGTGTGATGGGCAGATCCAAAGAAAATAAACTTTTTTGCAGGCCACTCCTGAATAACGATTCGTGCTTGTGCCAAATACTAAATCGTTTAGAATTGAAGCATATGGCGTGACTCCGATACCGCCTCCTACCATAACAGCTACCTCGAATTTATACCAATCCTGGTTACCGCCTCCGAACGGACCTTCTATACGTATTTTAGGTTGATCCTCAGCATTATAATTGCATGGATCGAAATAATTGCGTAATTTCCATGTCCAAGGACCCTGGGCTTTAATGTGGCAACTGAGAAAGTTTTCATGAGGCGCTGATGTCAACGTAAAACTATGCATTTCGTGAGGCTGAAACGCAGTACATGACAGTCGAACCCACTGGCCAGAAAGGTACTTCAAGTTAGGCGGACGATAGAACTTTATTTTGATAACGTCGGATGGCAGCAACTCAGTTTCAATCACATCCAGAGCCATATACTTGGTACGCAGTGAAACAATTTTATCCAGCGTGTATATTATACCGGGTCCAAGAAAAAACATCCAGAAACGCGGCGGACCTGTGAGCCGAGCTAACCCATGTATGAGACTTAGCAAATACAGAGCAATGTAAAGTGAATGCATATTCCAAAAAAATGTATACGCCTTTTTGCGAATGGTAGGATGAGCGAAAACAAATATGACGCACATAATAATAAACAGCAGGACACCAGTAGTACCTGGAAGAGGAGAATGAAAACGGTTATTTTTTGTAGTTAACTTTGTTTTTTTTGTTCTTCTACCCGTCACTGTTTGAAAGAGCCAAAACGTTATATCCGGTTTATAGTCTGATGCAAAGTGCACTTCACGAGTTAGACATCTCAGGTTCTCATGTGATTGCGTGGACACATGATAAAAGTTAACAATATGGCCCACAGTGTGTAGTACAGAAAAAAAAAGAGCCGTGCAGGCAGCAATTTTATGAAACTGTATATGCGAATCTAAAGGAATATACTGCTGTATGGGAAATTCCTTTAATTTTGTTATTAGATTTCTGAAATGATAAAAAAAATAAAATCTCATATTTAATAAATTCCATTAGAAAAAATTAAAGTTATATGAAGTTTTGAATTTAAGACTTCTTAAAATATAATACGGTGGACTGAACTAGCTTATGCTTAGACTTTGAAAAATCTATGCTTGCATCCGCCTAGATTGGAATTCATCTTCCTATTCTATAAATTAGACCTAATCTAATAAGATTTCCACCTTTAGTTAGCAAGAGAATTATTGATGAGTTCATAGTTTAGTTTATACTTTGGGTATCACGGTTAGTTAAAGGAAAGTAGGGTCAGTTAAAGTACAGGTTTCAGACTTCGCATATCAAATAGATGTAAGTGCATTAGTGATTTTATGGCTTAGGAGAAATAACATCCTAAAATCTTAAATATATTTTGAATTGACCTGGACATCGTAAGCAACAGCAAGGAATAGCAAAATGACAATGAGGCAGCTGAACCTCGAGTGATAGCAATGCCAACACCCATAATATGGCGCAAATCTGTATGTTCAGCCATGAATGAATAATCTGAAATTAAAGATTTCAATCAGTTCTCTTTCCTTACAATGATCCATACAATGTGTTTATACTTACGTATAAATCGTTCAACGAACAAAACAATTGTTATAACGTAAAATAAGAACAAATAGAAAATATTTTGACGGTTTTCTTCTAGAAATGTTATGTAACTATCCCATTTCACTTCCATCCAATAGCGGGGCCTTTCCTGCATTGGCTCAATGTTGAATGAAGTCATCCTGGCTACATTTGTCGAGGTATCTAAAAAATTCTGCTTAGCCCCTTTGCAATCCAAGCCAATAGCTACAAAATCGCCCTTGTATTCTTTCATCATCAACTTAAAATCCTGATAGGTTAAATGATTTTTGTGCTCCAACCCTACATCCTGAAACATTCCATCAATCAGTTCAGTTACTTGATCATCGCCGAGGCTTGTAGTACGAGCTATTTCAACTAGAGAACGCATCATTTCACTGAGTTCACCTTTGTCAATGACTCCATTGCGATCATTATCGCACATATCGAAAATAATACGTAGTTTATCGTCTGTTTTACCTCGCGAAAATAAAACCACCGTTTCTAAGAACTCTTGAAAACTTATCCGACTATCTTGATCTTTATCGACAATATTAAACATTTTACGGACAAACATGTCGTTCGGTTTCATGCCGAGAGCAGCGGCAAATTCTGCTTTTGACAAGCTGGTGCGCATTACTGTCATTACCTCACCGTCTGTGGAAGCGTCCGAACGACGTCGTCTTTCTCCGGGTCGTAAACCGAATGTTAAAGCGTAAGCTTCGCGAAAAAAGTACTCCAGTCGTTTTTGCCTTCTTTCACGAGTTTCGGCTCTAGCTAGCATTATATCACGATTTACTTCGACCAGAGTCATTTCTTTTTTATGCAATATTAAAAAGTCCTCTAGTTTTTTGACGAATTTTCTGCGAGCTCCATAGGACTCAAGTTCCAGAACCAGGTCGTGGTCGTTGGGCACTCGTAACAGGATATATGGTTTCTTTTTAATATGATTTGTAGCTGATTCCTCTACTGTGACTAAACCGATATTTTTAAGATTAAATGTCCTCAGCTTTTCTCCCTTACGGTCTACCGTGTAAATGGCAGCTTCCGGTCCAAATTTAACAGTAACAAGGCGTTTGTGATTTGCGTGTAGCCACTCGCGAGCTAACATTTTGTCTACAGAACCCTTGTGTTGAGGAGACCGCAAAGCCTCCTGACGTATCTTCAATTTGCGACGCTTACTATTCTGCAATTTGACAACGCAATAACTAGCTCCAGCACATAGAATTGGTACAAATCCCAGAAAAACGCAAACGTAAATAAACATAAGTTCGGACCCGGAAAAATAATCGTAACCTTCTAAGTGAGTGCATGGCTCCAATTCAGTAGCGTTTAATTGCATTGGTTGCGGACATGGATCACCCTTATGCCATATGAAAACATTTTTTTGAATATCCTTCGGGCTAATATCAGTGCTGTTTACAATAATGTCATACATGCGTATTTTACGGATCTCTTCGATTTCTTCCCGCGAAAATATACCGTTTTTATCATTCTCAAACCAGAAACGGTCGGCATCCCTGAGTCTCTGAAATTGCTCTTTGATTACCGTACTAAATAGCTCACCCGGTTGACCATAGGATTCAAGCATTCCACCCACATACACGTCAACGTCGTCAAATCGATTATTGTAAGCTGATACAAGACTCTCCAGCAATTCCGGTTGCTTCGAAAATAGGTCAGGATTGATGTCAGTCCAATTATTGTGCTTAAGTAAACCGAAAGCTACGCGAGCGCTATTATAATCAGGCAAACCATTATCTCGACCGCGCATTATATTTAGAGCGCCTAAATCTCTACGCGTAAATTCCATAGGGCCAAATAGTTTATCTCTCACATCGGAGCAAAGAACAGGATCTTCGCGTTCTGATATTTGCGAAGATAAGCCCATGAGAATCTCTTCGACTTTGGTGTCTGCTAGAAAGTCCTATTAGGTAATTTATGTAAGTTGTGGTGGTAAATATTTATAATTATGCGAACTTACGCTTGAATCCCACCAAGTGGAACAAAGCCTTATGGCAGGATAACCCATTGTTGTGGCCTTATAATTACAACTAGCATCTCGGCGATATATACCGGGCGGAATCATAGTGTGACCAAATCGAAAGGCTGCAGCTTGAAAAATATGTCCCACACCCGGATGAATATCTTGCTTGTAACCTTCATAAGGCGGTATCTCAGAAGCCAAAAAAGCTGGTAAGTACTCGTACATGATAACATTCTGCAAACTGGCAATCACATAACGACGGGCCTTCTGAAAGATATCCTCATCACTCCATCCAGCGTGCGCTTGTTTAATGCGCTGAGCCCACGTGTTGTGCCAACGCAGGAACAATATTGCAAATGAAAGTACTGCCGGATTTTGATTGGTTCGTGGATCTCCAAGTACTGCAAATTAAAGGATACATTTAGAGGAGATTTCTTGCGTTTTCAACTTGATCATGCTTACGAAATAACCTCTCAGGACTCAACATTTTCATAACGTTCGGTACTGGGTTATTAAATAACGGAACTCTCATGGTATTTCGTATGGGCAACTTTCCACTTTTATCTGTCAGTAGGGAACCGTTGTGAAATGAACGCATTGCATTTAGCCAAGCCTCTGAAGTGCTATATATAAAGCTACCGTCAATCCAGGCCGACATTTGGTTAATTTGTTCTCTCGGAGCGTTAGGACTCGAACCAGTATTCCGATCATAGGCAGCGCGATGGAAAGGTATATATTTGTCTCCCCTGCAGGATTTATCGTATATTTCATCACATTTTTCGATTTCAATGCGATGCATTTCAATGGGACATCCCGATTCAGATGCCATCACAATTTCGTTGGCCACAACCTGACCAAAAAATGCCAATAATGCGGTTCGATTATACTTCGATCCCAGGCCATCTCGTCCTCTCATAAACAAACGGCTTAGTCGTCTAGTAGAAGGACGATTTATACCCGCCAAAGCATAAACACCATCAGAGTACGACGGCGGTGCTTTCCGGACCAAGTGGCTATCTAGAAGTGTTCAATCAACAACAGTTGAAAAAAGTACTGTTTCAGACCTATCGCGCAATGCAAGTGCTACGATGACCGTAGAAACAAGCGTACCACACAAATGCTATGCTACATCTTTTACACAATCCCTCCTATAACAAGTAAAATGTCCTAACATCCTGTTTAAAAATCCAGAAGAAATTTTTCCATAATCCATTGTTTTGTAACAAAAATGTATCTAAGTACAATGAACACAACGGGGTATTGATAGCATTGTCGTTGGAAGAGAAACATATGTTCGCATACAAAATCGGCTTGCCATATTTTGGCCCCATCTAAATATAAACGCGTTTTAACTGAAACTAAACGACTTTTGACTCAATGACTTTTAACAGAATCTGAACAGCTTTTAACAAAAACTATGAACACATGAATAAATTTGTTGTTGTTCTTCATTATTTCATGACAAAGGTATGAACATAACATATTTATATATGTGTAGTTTCCCAAATTGCTGTTGCAATGGGAAGTAATGACTACCTAAACAAAGCCATGATAACTAGCAAGGAAAGAAACGCGTAGATTTCAGCGAACTGTCATAAAGACGTACGAACTTGATAGAACCAACTCATTAAATGGTGGAATGAATGGTTAAGAATTTGCGGGATAGCCATTAATCTCACAATTTACTTTTTGCACATATTAGGATTTATTGAAGAGTTGACGTTGTTGGGAACATTTAGAACGAGTGCTTTCTTACGTTAAAATTATATTTTTTGCTTTCATTTTCTCGAGCAGCCGACGTCTGTAGATACCAACTATTTCGTTGGCAGTTGGCCGCACATATAATATGACAAGAATGTGGTAACACCTTGTACGTTTTAAAGGGAAATGAGATGAAAAGACATATAGGAATCTTATCCTGACTGCTTTAGTATCTATTTAGTTTTATCAGACTTTCCTCTTTTTTATTGCACTGTGGCGGCAATTGGATATATATAATAGGGGAACTTCACTTTTACTGTTAGAGCTTTCATTGTTGTCCTTGATTTTTCAATGGGTTTAATGAGGCGAATAGTATCACCCAAAAGTGTGTATTTGTTTATTACTATGGTTTGGTCGTAAAAGTCGCTTTCTAATCATGATACGTCTGCGTAGATGTTTCTGTGTATTATGCTATGAGTATACTTTTGTATGTATGCGGACTGTGTCCGCATTACAGGTATATTCGTCTATATGTGATCAGACGTGTCGCAGTTACCTCAACTCATTAACAGTAAATAATTAAGTCATCTTTCCCATCCATGGCATCAATTGTGAAGCCGCAAGCTTAAACATCAATAACTAATATGTGGAATGGGACAAATGAAAATGGCCAGCAAGTTATTAAATAATATGATAAACTATAAATTTATAATAACTGTTATAACTAGTTATTGCAGTAAACGAATTTAATAACAACGATGTGTGTAGATATGAATACACTTGAGGTTTATGAGAATAGAAATATAAAGAAAACTAGTAATGTTAGTACGCAATTGTGTGTAGTAAATTATGCCTGGTAAATACACTAGGTAAAAGGAAATGTTGTAGCGTTTTTCACTAAAATTCGCACATATTGTCCTCATTTTTTAAAAGACCATTATTTAATAAAATACGTTTAATATTGACCGATAATCTTTTATCGTTTTTCAGTAAAACCGTTATGCAATTACTATATTGAGATTTCTGGGCCAAAAGCTGGATGCAGTGATGTTAACTGGCTTCTATTGAAGTCAGTTTTAGGTCACTAAGTGAGTCCCGCAAAAAGCACAAGAAATAGGACGGAGCAATGTCCGGGTTACACCGAAGATGTATCAAAACTTATGAGCTAAGTGCAATCTTCGCCGAGCCATTAAAGATATATGTGGCTTGGTATTGCCGTGATAACAGTTTTTAATCGTCTTGGCAAGTGACCTGAAATTGTTTCGTGCCAGCTGCGGCTCGCGATTAGAAATTCGGTTATTTAGACTTTTCACAGTAAGGTCGGATCGAGCTTCATGTAAATTGTTTAAGGTTGTTTTGCTCGATACTTAGTGCCAGAATATATCAATTTGAATCCCTTTTTTGAAGAATTTCATTGCTTTTACTAACGATCGCCTTTATTATTCAAATCTCCATAGCGGAAGTGCATAAACTATTTTTATAGAGCATTTTCACTAATCACACCGGAAATTTTTTGCATAAACCTTCGAAACGTTCTTACTTTAGTTACGATAAGAGTAGTTAATTCTTTCAGATTGCTCACTAATTTTCAGAACGTGGTTGCTTTCCACTGAAATCACAAAGTCTTTACCTTATCAGTAGATATGGAGGATATGAATACGGGAATATACGTAGGTTAACCACGTCGCCCCTTTACAATGTCTACAACATCCTTTACGAGAAAGAGCAACTTATTAAATTAATAAACTTTCTTTGCTCACCTACAGAACCCCAATTGGGATGAGCTAAATTATTATACCAGCCATCGTAACGTTGTTTCTCCATCTGACTGTAAATCTTTTCTGTAATTAGGAAAAAAAAATTGATTAAATGAAAATTTTGTCGTATTAAAACCACTATAAGTTGTGTATGAGAATAAGATTGTTAGATAAAGAACGCGCGGAATTGTGTGTAAAATCAAATACAAGTCTATAGAAATAAATGCTAAATGGAAAAGACAAATATGAGATGTCTTTGTATTATATTGTTTTAATACATAATATCTCCAAAGGGATGCTTGGCTGTAGGGCAATTGATATCGTTCATGGAAGACGTCGTCACAGGGATGCCTAGAGGATTGTGCCGAAGTTTCGTTGCAAGAGCGCGAACAGGAAGTAAGAATTGTAAGACATTAGTTTAATAGGTGCAAAAAGGAAAACTAACATGATAAACTAAGCATTCTACGGGTTCTGTGAGGACGGGAGCTTCAGCTTCTACTTACACATTACAACGTGCTATTAAAAAAGTTAGCCTTTACTGGATGTAAGATTTAATCCAATTTTCATGTGAATATATAATATTAACCATGTTGGCTATCAAATTCTCTCAACGTTAACAATACAATTTATATTTTAATATCGACAATATTGGGCATTCCGCTACAGGGGGCGGTGTCAAAATTGAACTTGAGTTTTAACGAGAGATATTAAAAGCTGCAATTTTTTTTCATATAGAACCGTTTTCAAAATAGGACATTACATTAGGAGTATTTTCATCAGAGTTTGCCGTTGGACTATACCATATCAGTGTACCAGGTTGTATTAAGACATGATGAAAATTGTAACTTCTATAAATATCTTAAGCCAGTTTTCGTGCTGCATCTGCGCAAGCTTATTTGTTTTATTGTGCTTATTTGTTTTATTGTACTTATACTAAGTTTTAATATTAATTAATTTAAGATTTACTTTAAGAGTCAATTGAACTCGACTGTTAAAATTTTTAGTTGAGTTTCTTGTATAAGTGAAATAAATAAATAAATAAATAAACAAATTAGTTTAAACCGGTTAAACAGCTCATAATTATGTTTAAATTGACTCAGCTTAATGAAGATAAAGTGGCTAAAGAAACGATTAGGGACGTTAAGTTTTAAGTAATGTGGTCGAATCGATAGTAACATTTATTAATTTGAATAAGAAGGAAACAGCAAGAGTAAATCTATGTTTCTCAAGTATCGGTAAGGATAACAGAAGCAACATATTTTCATAAGGATGGAAAGAGATAAGAGGGTCCCAAACTCAAATACTGTCCTGACTAAGGTCACGCAAAACCTTTTTGTAATTGACGGACCATTAAACTCTTGGACACTCCGTTTATTGAAACTTCGCACCGACCTAGCAGTTCAATGTGGAAATTATAATCTTTGGTCGGATGGAACCCATAAGTCGATGAACAAATCACCGCTCTCTAACTTGTGTGAATCAATCAAATACTTCGTATTGATTGACTTCCTCCTTGAGAAAGAAAGCTTCTGGCATTTTTTTTGATTCAATTTCATCAAACTTAACGTGCACCATGTTACCTAATTTAAGTAAATTAAGTAAATTTGAAGCTGATACGAGAAGAAGGAAAACACTTTAAAATCATCAGCGTATATTAAGGTCCGGCTGGATTTAATCACCGAGGGGAAGTCATTAATGTATAAATTGAATACAAGGGATTCTAACTGCTTCCAACTTCGGGGTCTCCCACGGGTCGACGGAGACCTCCGGTAGCCGTAATCGTGTGCGGAGTGTTTATGGGGTAAAGCATGAAACCATACATTTAAAAGTACACTTGTCATCTGCACATTTCAAACTACTATGCCAACAACATTGCGAAAAATGCACCGATATGAACATTTTTTGTGGTTAGCTTTCGACATTCTCCTCATCTTATTATAAACTCGAGTAGTTAATGCATTCAATACTCGTGAACATTTTAGGCCAGCTTACAAATGTAGAACAATTTTGAGGTAATATTCTCGCAGAGAAGTAAAGTCGAGGAGTGTAAAATGCAAAAGAGTGCTATAAGAAAATGCTTAATTGTTTCGAGATCAATAATCAATATGATTGCATAGATCAATTGAAAACTACAGAGAGAGATATAAAATTTTCGGTTTGCAGATTACACTTTCTGTTGTTAAAAGAAAATTCCGTAGTTGGCTTATTTTCAGAGACCTTTCCTTAAATACTCCCCTATCTTGTAAAAGCTGTTATTTTTTTAACTAGAAAAAAATTACTTAATTTCTCCGTTCAAACATTTTTGACATAATCGAGATAATGCATCAGACGGTGACTTTGCTCACCCTTTTAATCTAGCTCGTCCGTATTCTTTCTTATCCGGATGATCAAAAAAAAATATGCCACTTGCTTGTGCAAAAGCCACCTTATGCTGTACAAACGGACTTTGAACTTTGTTCTCTTCCCATAGTCCTCTCTTTAAATGCGCGGAGGATTATGGAAAGAAATTTTGATTAACGGAATTCCGTTACTATACAGAATACTAATCATTTTGTAAAGAGCATAGAAAAAGCCGGCCGACAGAAGCCCTCGACCCGTATATACGCGGACGTTGCAGATGCAAGAGATACTGAAAAATCGTATGTTTAAAAATTATATACAAGAACTTATATTTAAAATGCTTCTGGTTTCGTTCGGTTGAATATTACGACTCAACTTTATATATTCTTTTTTTACAACACTTTACCGTGACATTTGTGCTTTGAACGCTTGTACTGCTAAATGTTGGTGAAACGTTATAAATGCGTATTTGTATTTTCAATTTTTTCAGGCAAACTTTAAATCGTCAAGTGATTTTCGTAACAATATCTTCAAACAAAGGCAGTATCCACTTATTTTCTATACATTCTACAGTTGTTCTCCTCTCAAATCCAACTGGCACGCATTATTTCTATACATTCTACAGCTGTTTTCCCTCCGAATTCAACTGGCACGCTTTATTTCTATAGATTTTACGCCTATTTTCCTTCCGAATTCCATTGGCACGCATTATTTCTGTACATTCTACAGCTGTTTTCTTCCCAAGTTCAACTGGCACGCATTAGTTGATAGATATGCTGAACAAAAATGAAAATGTATTAAACGTATCCGAGTTATGCCCATCTTCATCAAAATGGACACGACTATCTAATTATTTAAAAAATTGCTCTACAAGTGGTTCACTCTGCGTTGTCATAAGTTACGCGCACGCACAACATTTGGGAGTCGAGCGTTAGGTAAGGAAAGCCAAAATATGTTTCTCTGAAGGATAACACGCATAAAATAAGCAAATTTGCTTTTTCTTCAAATATTGTTTCGCTTCATCTAGCTGAATATTGCACAGTTAAAAACTTCTTGCCATTTGAATATTATACAGGGTCTCCGAGCAAGATATGTGAAAAAAAGGATAAGGTTTTCTCTTCTTTCCTAGTCAGATATTTTCAAAGCCGAGGAGTTCTGAACTGAACTTTTGCATAGTTGGACATTGTACCCATTGTTGTAGCTTTTTCCTTTTTTATTTTCTATTCGTTTGTAAATACTTTATAACACTTTAATTATAAGTTTTTTTTAAAAAGGCTAACAAATGCGGGCTTTTATGGCTACCTGTCTTCTTATTACTACTCTAATAGCTTAAAGTGAACCACAAATGATTTAATATATTGAACAAATTTATATACATATGTGTAGATTACTACCCTGCGAAATGGAACCGCTGCCATTTTCGGTCCATTTACTCTTTTTTTGTTAAGAATATAATCAGTGGCTCAAATCAACTCGCTTCCTTGAGGGATCAAATTGCAAGTGAACCCCTAAGACATCGCAAACATGAATAAGCTTGGCAACCGATAATACAATTAATTTTCGAGTCATAATCACCTTTTAGAGTTAAAATTTAGTTTAAGTACGACATAGGTAAATCGCGCGTATTAAGCAATGTTGCTTTAATAGACTTTAAAGAGTCCGATAATGACAATAGATGATAGACATCATTTAGGTTCTTGCAAACTAGTCTGAGAGGGTTAAACAGCTCATAATTATATTTACATTGACTAAGCTTAACCAAGATAAAGTGCCTAGAGAAGCGGTTAGGGACATTAAAGCTTATTTCACCAAGTAATGAAGGCGAGTCAATAGCACCATTTATTACTTTGATGACGAAGGAAACCCCAAGAAGAAATCAACGTTTTTCGAGAGACGGTAAGGACAACAGACGCAACATATTTTCATAGGGAGGAAGAGAGGCAATCGGATCCCAACCCAAATTCCTAAGGGCAAACAGCAAGAATTGCTTTTGAACAGATTCAATTGAATCTACATAGCACCTATATGAAGGAGACCACACAACAGAGGCATACTTGAGTATGCTCGAGTATGGGTTTAACCAAACACATGAACAGCCTTTTCGTAATGTAGGGATCATCAAGCGCTTTGGACCACCTCTTTATAAAACCAAGCGCGGACCTAGCTTTGCTTAACCAGAGCTCAATATGCAAATTGAAGCGTAACCTATAATCAAATAGAAAGCCTAAATCTGTGAACGAATCGACGTCTTCCAACTTGTGCGAATCAATGAAATACTGAGTACTGAACGACTTCCTTCTTGAGAAAGAAAGCTTCTTACATTTATTTAGATTTAGTTTGAGAAGATAGAAAGAGCACCATGCAACCAAATTATTCAAATCATTTTGAAGATGATGTGATTGCGATTCTACGGAAAAGCAAGAAAACAGTTTCACATCATCAGCATACATTAAGATCTAGCTGAATTTAATTACGGAGGGCAAATCATTCATGTATAAATTAAATAAAATGGGTCCTAAGTGGCTACCTTGAAGAACGCCAGACGTCACGGGGAATTCATCTGAGCTAATGAGGTTAAATAAAACCTTGAATGATCTACCATGCAGATAAGGGCTTAACCATTCCACTAAGAAGAAAGGTAAGCCAGAGGCTTGGAGTTTAAAGATAAGTACTCTATGGTTAACCAAATCAAACGGTTTGCTTAAATCAGTGTATATAACATCTGTGCGAGAGCTACTAGAGAA